AACCAAGTTGTGGCTTTATTAAGATGACTAGATTTTAAAATTGGTATGGCTGAACAAGATCGGAACAAAAATAGGGATAACTAACGATTTTTAACTTATTCAACTCTAAATAGTTTATTCCATTATATCTAAATTTATTAGTATTCGATTAATTAAGATTAAAATTTATCTTATTATGCCAAAATCGTTAATACTACGAAATGACTTTATTGTTTATTCATTAATATCCACATATATTAATTATATATTTTAAATTGATTAGTAATTAGGTAAAACGTGATTGAAAGTTAAACATAGATCAAAAGAACAATGTTATTATGAAAGAAAGCAAGAAAAAAGTAATATCAAAACATTTTAATTAGTTTACAAATTTAATTAAAAATATATTATATTTACGCAGTATTTTTTAAAGCTGCGTTCTATAAAATGATGATAAATATTATGAAATTTTCCGCATGAATTACTTAAATTACATTTCACGCATAATATGGATTTTATTGTCTCTACACTTAATTATGTAAGTTATAAGCCATAGGTTTACAGAAAGACGTTTTATTTTTTTTGTAGAGGAGAAGAAACCTTATATAGGAACCACTAGTGGAGTCGTTGTACTGTGGGAATCTTACTTAACTAAAACCTCTCCCCTTCATCATCAGCATTCAGGTCCGGTGTTTTGACATGTCAATGCAAATTGTCTGAGCTTTACAGAAAGAAAGACCTGGTTTAGCGATTTGTTATTAACTGGCCAAAAGCAAACTAAATGCTATTAGTTTCACAATTTACTGATCAGTAGATTATTATAATTATATTTTTCTATCTCTAAATATTAAAATATTATGATCTTGGCAGAAACACCTATATCTAACATATTTGTTGTTCATATATTTATACTAATCATTAATTAACTAAAATATAATTTATTAAATACGATTGTAACATCAAAACTTGGAATAACTATAATTACACTGTGATTTAGTGTTGCAAATAAAACCAGTAACAGGCGACGACAAAAAATAAATCTCTTCGTTGAACTCGCAGTGCTTGAACTTTACCTTCGCAACGGCTTAGAACATATTTGCAACTGCTGTCGGTTTCCTGGAAAATAGGCATTTCCTTTCACCAAATAAATTAGTTATTGTTATATGCGAAACAGAACGCTTTTAACGGTTGATATAATTCCATCGTACAATGGAAATTCACATTGAGTGATAATTAAATTTTACGGAGTCGACTTTAATTAACAGCGGCTGAGAATGGACGGAGTAAAAAAAAAAGAGGAGAGAAGAGTTGCCGAGGACGGATGGATGGATGCATTCGAATTTATGCTTGGAAATGTGTAATTATACAACTCTATTTATATGTATATACATACACACGCCGTGCGATGTGCGCTGTTTACGTTACACGTTTTTCTCGAACATTGAAATGTAAACAGTATTGGGGAAAACTCGTTGTACACCAGCATTGACCTTTACTGCTCTGGTTTCTATACAATTTAACTATACACCTTTATCATAAAGAATTAATGAAAATACTCCTTTTTATTACCGAAAAATGACAAATAAAATATAATCAAATATAAAGAGAACCTTAATATAATGCACTCTCAAACAAAGGGCCCGCGGGCCGTATACGGCCCCCAAAGCAAATTTGGACGGCCCGCGTGTATATTTCAATTATGTAGATATTGAAAATATTGAAGGAAAAATTAATATAATTAATAGGTTCGGGTTTTATCTTTACCTATGTTCATTTTATGTTCACTCTCTGTTACTTAAACTACTTTCAAATCGTGTATTTGGCCCGTATGCAATTTGAGTTTGAGACTACTCGTATAATTTAGCAGAAAAACGTATGAAATATTTGATACATATTTTTACTATCAATAACTTGAAATATAAAGTATATAATACCTTTATTACATACAATCAATAATTTTGTTAATATTGTAACTATTTCTTATCTCCTAAAATAATTATACCGAAAATTCATCATCAACTTCAGTGAGTCGATCAGAGCATTGGTCATCTTTAAGTGAAACATCTCCAGAACAGAGTTTTTTTAAACCAATTCTGACACGTGCGTATTTTAAGTAATCAACACCATAAACTTCAAATATCTCTTTGTGAACCTTAGCAGATTTCTTGCCTTTGCTGAAAATAAAAACGTTAATTTTTGTTTTCGTTGCAATGTTAAAATAGATTTTAAACTAACAGGTGCAAACAAAATTACTAAACTAAAAGTGAAATCTATGAAATGTCAAAAGGAAAAATCATAACATTGACACAAGTAATTCAGGCCATACATAACACTAACTATTTGTGAAAATCGAAATTGCCCAATACATCTTATGACCTAATTATTGCATATACTGTTTATCGATTACAAGAATCAATCTTCTGATGTTTCATATTAATATTCAGTGTATTTGTATAAATATAAAGGGTGTCCCAAAATTAACGCAAGATTTGAATTAAATAGAAAACACAGTTTTTAGTCAAATTGTTTTTTTTGGGGTTGCCAACACTTTACTGCATTCAAATCTTGCGTTAATTTTGGGACACCCTTTATTACACATTTTTTCTTGAACGAATTCTTCAGAAAGCAATCTACCTTATAAAAACAGGTTTGTCATAATTTCATAAGTTATGAACAAGAAAACACATTTATTATAAACGTGTAATAAATGAGCAAACTTATATAAATTAGAAATATCAACAATCAATAATATTTACTGCTGATAATAAAACAAGTATTTTATATTTTACGAATTGCTATTTTATTGTAGTATCACGTATGACAAAATATTTTGATTATTAGTTGGAATACGTTTCAAGGTCAATGCTGCTGCAATTGTCAAATAGTGCATAGAATATTAATACCATTGCTACAAGTGTAGAATTTCTAAATTTAAATTATATGAAGATACACATAGAAAATAAATATTCCATTCATGGTTCATCAAAACTAAGATATTTTTTTTAAATAACTAAGCTAGGAAAATACGCATTTTGTAATTTAACAAATTATCATTTTTCACAGAATATTTGGAGCGAATTTATAAAAAAATGTAGTATTTTCATTTTTTCCTTTATTAATTAATATATATTAATTTTAAGTACAATGTCTACATTTGTTTTTCTATTGAGTATTCTACTTTAAAAATTAAATTTGTTGTAATAAGACAGTCAATATATAAAGCAATACGTGACACACAATCATTCGAAGGTTAAATCACGTTAGCATTTGGAAATAGCTTGTTGGTGCGAATGAGAATGGTAATGCCCTCAAATACGCTAAATCGTCGTTTCAAATGAAATCTACTTGTTGGTTCCAATAGATACGCTCGTTTAATATAAGTTCAACAAGTTGCCATTGGCAAGAACAACCGTATTAATATATGAAATATTTACTTCCCAACTATATATAAAAAAATACTATATATAATGAATTGATTGTAAAAATAGTATATAAATTTTACGTAACGACAGTGGTGAAACTTCAAATCTTTGTGTCCCCTGCAAATTATTATTTGACCCCTAAAAGTCTCGCGATTTTGTTAAATAGCGAGGTACTTAGACAAATTTTATGCCTTTTTTTATTTGAGGCACCCCCTTGAGTTGAAATACAGAAAATCATAGAGTCCTAAACAACAGTTCCAAAAACTTATGAAGGAGTGTCGGTTCTCGGGGGCCACATTAAAAAAGTCGTGGAGCCAGATAGTATTACAAATTGAGGGCCTAAACAATTTTTTTATTTGCATGTTAGAGAAATTACGTTTACTCTCACGTTAATCTTCCTCCAAACAATCTTATATATAACGAAAATAAAAAAAAAACCATTAAATCAATTATTTCCCAAAGAAATGCCAGATTTAATATATTCACAATTACTTGAAAATTATTTATGACTAAATTTAGTTTTGATTTTAGAAGAAATATTGTCTAATTTCTGATGAAAACTTATTTTTTATTGCATTTATATCATGTGATAAACAAGATAATTTGATATGAAAACCTTTATATCGTAAGGCGTCTGTGATCAATAAAGATATATAACGATTGTTAGGAAACGACTCGCCAGTTATGCGCTGCACCAATTGTTTCTTATCCAATAATTGACTTGTATCATTTCTTGCGTCATTTAAGTTAAGACACCATTGATTTTAGTTCTCTTAATTCAACGTCAAAGTGAAAATCTATAATACGCATTTCCTTACAAAATATGCGTATTAAAGATGAATATTGGTTTTTAATCTTCTAATTGATACATATTAAATTTTATTTTTACATTTGAACTGTGCAAATTTGTTAACTGAAAATTGTGCAATATTAATTATAATTCACATATTTTATATAGTTAATTGTACGTAAATTCAGTACTTTTTGTCTTAATTATGGAATCTTAAAGGTAATTATATATAAATATAAAACTTTAACTTAACGAACTTAATGCCAACAACAAATATATATTAGAAATAAATCTTACAATATATTAAGATTTACATAAGTCGTAAAGATTTACAGCAGACTGTCATCTAAAAGATGGTACGAATTCTGATTTTGTCCCAACTAAAACGGTAACATATATTAAAATATATATTTTTCTACTAAAAGTAGATTTGTACTATTGTAGTGTATAATCATATTTATTTTTAAAGTTTTACTTATTTCATTATAGTTAAAATTAATTTGTATTTCAGATATAAAATTGAATGATATTTCGATAAGTCGAAACATACTTAATAAATAATTAATTATTGAGGATATTTTAATTTGTAATACTACAAACTGATAGTTGTTATTAGAATTGTAATTAAATTTGAATACACATATTATATATGCATACTAAAATATAATATTCTGCGTGTTAAATAAAAGAACAAGATTTGAATAAGTTTTCAAACAATCTTATAAGATAAAATTTCTTGAAAGTTTCTGATTAGTTTTATACTTAATTTTTTGATTGATGTTAAATAGTAATTTTGGAAAAAAACTTACCCTTCCGCTTGTATCGGTGGCATTCAAATCCGCTTCCGGAATGCCGACGATGACGGCCCTTCTGAAGATGTCCCTCAGAAGACTGTCCTCTCCATCTCTGGCTGCCCGGATGAGCACCTGTCCACCTGGGGTGGTTGGCGGTGCCGTCGGGGCCGTCGTGTTCGCCGTAGGAGACAGCGTGCCTCGAATATACCGTCCCGTAGGATGAACTCTGGAGCGGGCACCTGGTGATGCAGTCACCGAAACCACCACCGAAGACTGTTGCTGCAGGTCGCGTCTGATTTCTGCGTAAGTCCTATGGAAATTTGTGCCGCTGTTTTGGTTGTTGTTATTATTATTGTTGGTGCAGGTGCTAATGTTGCTGATGTTATTATTGTTATTGTTGTTGTTGCTGAGCGTGCGTTGCGCGACTGAACGCTGACTGAAACCGCGTGTTCGAAGCCATCCGTTCTCCGGTCCCGCCGTCGGTTTCGCGACGCTCACGCCGGTCGCCGCCGCCGCCACCGTATCTCCATCTCCTGGGGGCAGAGTGAATCTCACCCGACGTGCCTGAAAGAAAACGCGTTACATTTTCAACAGGTTTTCAGTTCCAGACGCCACCTTGCGAGTAGTATAATGATAGAGCTATACACAACCCTATTCTTAATCCGTAACTACTACAAACTCATAAATGAAACATTAATACTACCAATGGATCAAAACTACGCATTTAATAAATATTTAAAAAGTAGAACAAATTATTAATTTTTAACCTGTACGATATTTGCAATCAGAATTATAAAGTTTCGGGGAATCTTTTGGTTGCACATTGGATCTAAAATCAAAAAATAACTGGAATTCGTCTTTCTCAATAATAACGATTCATATATTAATCTGCAGTTGACACCAGCTATATTTAAATACAATTAGACATGTGATATCGGCACATTTCTTATCGAGTGCATCTACACCGACTTTAGCATAAAGGAACTGATTTACTCAGTTTTGGTACATAGGTAACCAAAGTTATTCCACTTTGAAATCCAAATATTGATGATATTTCAAGAACGTATTTGCTATAGATGAGTTATTTTGACCCGAAATACATTAAAATAAAAACCTCTCGCCATAACTGCTTTGCTCATACTGAAAAGTACACTAGAACATACTTGAACAAAAACAAATATCAGATGACTCTGACCTATTCATAGTACTTACGGGTTAACAAAAAAAACTACTTGTTAATTGCGCATAAGTCTAAGGTTATCAAATACCTTGAATTAGTGGATTTAAAAAGAACTGTGTCAAAACTAATACAAATTTTCACTCATTTTGATATTTGTGATAATTGTAATTACGTTTATTTTATGTGGATGAAGGTTTTTAATAATAGACAATGTTTTTATTGTTTTCAAAATATTATTTTTGATAAATACATGGTTTAATATAAACATTATTATGGAATATTCGATTTTTTAAGAAAAAGCCATTTGATTTAGCCAGTTTAGCATGTTTTTCGAGATAATCCAGAATTGGGCACTTAAGCCAAAACTACTCCATGACTTATTTCATAATTACATAATCATGATAGGTTCTTCTTTATAGATCGATTCTATACAAAATATAATCTAGTGTAGATCTAAATAACTACATTTCACGTATTAATTTGAAAATGTATATAGTTTAATTAACGTTAATAAAATAATATTATTTTGGAGCATTTACGCTACAATTCAATTAATAAAAAAACTGTTTTATAAAATCGGAATTAATTATATTTATAATAATTATGTTGTATTATGCGTTTGATTAGAAAAGTAATTTGTACTTCATTTTTAGAATTAATCCATAATAAGTGAAATATAGTTATCTTGAACTTTAAATCATCAATTTATAGTATAATTTAACACCACCTAATACTCCAAAATGCTTTTATAAAAAAAACAAGTTTTATTTAAAATTATGTAAACTAAATATTATTTCCATGTGAACTTCCACGTGGAGTGTAAAATCTAACATTGAACTGAATCTGTGAAACATTACCACGTAATATAAATATTGCCGTTTGCAGTTATAATTAATAACCAAATAAATCGTTCTTGTTCTACTTGCTCAAAAGTTTCGAGGCTGCGTACAAAATCGTCAAGCAAATATTTGGCTATATAATTTTCGACTGTTTATTTTTTGTTCTCGTAACTACGTTTCCTAATTCTGCTTAAAATTTCATACACAAGTCGATGATTTAAAATAGAATTTATTTTTTAACATAACTTCTGCAATAAATCAGTAATATAAATAAATTTTCTTAGAAAAGTATAGCAGTTAGATAATTCCAGTAAATTATAATTTGTAATATAATTTTATTTCATAAATGATGTATAGAAGAGTTTCTCAATCTATGCGATATTGGGCAGCGTTATTTTTTGAATGAATTGCGAAATAACAGCTGTAATTCGCGTTAAATGGTATGGTGTATGGTATAAACAAATAGGTGAGAAAGACTGATCTACAGTATACTTTGCAAAATTTATAGTTTATAAAAATAGTTTAAAATATTATTCTTGTACAAAAAAAAAATTAAATAATTTTACTTACAGAAAATGTATTCAATTACTTAAGGATTTTACTAAAATATTATTAATTATCTTGCTTTATGTATAGATTTAGAAATCAATGTTTTTATTATTATTATATAAAATATCAAATTTCCTATCCAATATCCGGATGTTTCATAACATATACCCTCAAAATCATAAAAGAAAGCAAGGATAATACGTACATACACACATACAGAAAGAAGCCGTAAAAAAATGTAGTTTATCACGAGGCTATTTTTTGTTGCTCTTACCGGTCTTAGAGGTTTGAAGCTGATATCGTCAGGATTCAGAGATTGTAGGTTACTCTTCTTCGTGGAAACTTTGGGTATCGTATCGCAGTGATAATGGTTGGTGACCCTTAAGGGCCCAGACGTGGTGGTTCTGGCCCCAACGGAGCCGTAACGCAGCGATGGAAGTTCTGCGATTCGCCTTGACATTGATCTGCTTGTGTGCGTTACCGAAGGCATTGCCTACGAAAAAAAATATTGAAAGGAAATCAATAACAATATATGAAAATATAATAAATAGAAAATGTTTGTTAAGCTTGAATAAGCAATGTTATTATAATGATAGTTTATTGATTGGATTTCTCAATTTATATTCAATTTATTGTTAATCAGTGGAGAATTAAAATATGAATAGTAACATTCAATTTCTATTGAAAGAGCCAAAGGAAAATTATTGTTATGACCAATAGGAAAATGGATGAATATCTTTATATAGATCAAGTCAGAGGTTCCCAAACTATGCGCCGCAAAAATTACCAATAGACCAATGTTTTTACTTGGAACGCCGTAAACCTAAAAGTTTGGGAACCCTGTATGAAGTGATCACAAAGCTATATAATAAATACAGTGACCGTTTTGTTTTATTTTCTCAATTTGTTTTAATTAAGTAAATGCATACTATTAAATTTTTCTAATATTTTTATTTGTGTTAAACATTAACAAGAGAAATTAACGCAATAAATTGTACGCATATTTCTTACATAATATACAAAAGATTAGGTCAAAAAGTAAAAAAATACGGTTCTATTATATCAACTTAGGTCATAGAATATTTTCATTAATCAACTTATCTAGAAATTACAGTTTTGTCAATGCAAAATTGAAACTATCTGCGTAAATAATATAGTTTATCATATCAATAATATAGTTTATTTTTTATAAAAACATTTTTGGCAGAAAATCTTTGTTTTTTTTACATACGTATTCTAACTAAAAACTTATATAATGGGGTACTCTTATAACACGTTTTCCATATAACGCGTGAAAAAATTGATACAGCCCTCTATAACACGGTTATCTTATAACGCGGATCAATATAATACAACATATGGTTTTTTGAAAATATTTATATAATTCGAAAACCATTTTTTTAACTGCAAAACCGGTTTTTAAACCTAGACTTAAAATATAAAAATTAAATAATTATATGTAAACAAGTGAAACAAGTGAAACAGGTAGAAAATTGATCCTATTCTTGACTTCCACAGGACATAAAAAAGTTTAGAGGTCATGATAGAAAGAATCCTTAGAACGAAAAGATGCGAATTTATTAACAAGTGCAGACATATTTCAATTTATGTTACGTTTTAGTCCTAACATATTACTTGTTGTAGAGACACGAATTCAAGAGAGAAGATAAAGGGAATTACTCCACACTGCTCCTTTACTTATAAAATCTATAAAACGTTTGGACAAAGTCGTTTTCTTCAACAAAAAATGTGATCATTAGGTTATCTGAATAATTATTATCAATATTGTATCTAAATTATTAAATAGAAATTAACTACTGGTTTAAAACTGGTTTTGTAGAAAAGTTGAGATTCGAAAACTGGTTTTTTTAAAGTCGGCTTTTGTAAAAACGCTAGTACAGCATAATTTGTTTACGAATCTAAAGTTTAGATAAATAGAAACTGAGAGCTTTAATTAATATGTCTACCTCAAATGCACTGATACAAGAAGAAACGGAAGACGAATGTCTTAATATTTACAATTTGAATAGAAAAGAAGACTTGATTTGAGTAAAGAATTAGAATTTGATTTACATAGAAAGCAGTACTAATTAAGCTAGTTTGTACTAATTCCATATTAGTCGGTACTAAATAGGGTTGACTTTCTTTTTTTTTTCTAAAAATTGTTTCATACATTTGTTGTACGTTTTATATTAAAGTATATTTTTGTGAATGCAAAACTGAAGTTATCTGCGTAAAATTTAATATATCTTAATTGAACTATTGGACTATAAAACGCATCTTTTCACGAAAAGAAATGTGCATATTAGTTATAATTTTGTCAATGCAAAATCAACTTATAATTAGGGTTTATATTAGATTTTTTTGTTATCTATTGTATACGTATTTGTGTAATAAATGTAAGTTTACATAATTTATATTCTTCTAAACATTATCTTACAAATTTGTTGTGTCATAACCATGCACTGGTTATAGTCCAAACATAAAATATAGTAAATTTCAACACTCACTTTGTCTAAATCCCTGAAACGTAAGGGCTTCATTTCAGTTGCACGATACTCGCATAATGCAGAGATGTCGACGATAAATTGCCTGGTCATGTACAATACGTATTGTTGCGACGAGAAAATTATATGCGCGATTTGCTTTAAAAAATTCAAAACGTAAGCTCGTAATTGCACGTCGCAACTTGCCGTTTATTAAACGAGAATGAAAATTTCATAGAAATTGTACAATATGTAATCGTTGGAAATGCAAATCATTTCAGGTACGAGCGGACAACAATAGGAATAATGGAAAAGTTTGTACGTTGTATAACGAACAAATACAAAAAAATATGTGCTTCTGAGTGTTTATATATAGTATAGTTTAATCTACATAATGTTTTGTGAATTAAATTAATGTTCATTTTAATATATTTCTTGTGAATTTAATTGTTATAAAAGCGTATGTAAATTAAGAACATTACGTTACTATGTACTGAAACGTAATGATCAAATTAATTATTATATAATTTAATTGCAGTTATTGAGAAATACTTTCATTTTTTAATACAACAACATCGCATAATACGGCTTCGATCAATGCGTATTCAATACTTGAAAATTACAAAATATACTATAGAGTAGAAACATCTATGGTCAATAGCCCTTTATATCAGTTGATTTTTTTAAAAATTATATATATTTATTCTGTTCTTTTTATATATGTATATGTTTTTTTTTGTACGACTGATGCAATAAACATTATTATTATACTAAATTTTAATTGAAAAAATTAAAAATTAGTACATACAATTAAATTTTTGACATATTTTTGTGTCTTATCTCACGATTTTGTTTCAAATCTTAGAATAGATTTATATTAAGATATTCAAATTAATTCTAGTTTTATTTATTTTTTATAATTATTTAATCGCATTTGCAACAACTTTTTACAAAATTCTACATATTAATTCACTTATGGAGGAAAAATGGAACAGAAAGACCTATGGTTAATAGCCCTTTGTGTTGAGTTTTTATTTTGTAATTAAGTTTGTATTTTGTTCTGCTTCAATTTTCAATTTTAATTATGTTTATATGAAATAAAAGTTACTTGCAAACTACAAGTAAAACAATGATCAAATAGTCATAATTTTAAATCATCACAAAGTACCTAATATAATAATTTAAAGCAATATATAAAAACACATATATTAAAGTCAATTATTTATTTAACTTTCTTACAGAATCACGAAGACACTCATTCGAAATACCTGAAAGAAAAGCAGGAGAGAATCAACGCATGGTCTTTATGGGCTAAAACCTAGTGCCCCAACCAATCAAAGATTCCCTAAACTTTATAAGTCTAGGCCAGTGTCTGACAAACTTTTTTACTGAATTTACTAAATTTTTTGATCTTGCAATCTCTTGAGGGACACAGAGAGCCCCAAATAGAAGTGGATTATAGCTTAGGAGAATTCATAGTCATTAGCTATTTGTCCACTAAAGAATATTTGAATGCGAATTAGAACAGATTTCAAAAATGACGATAAAAAAAATATTGAATGCAGAATATGATGGTTTTTAGTTTCAGATTTCTAAAACATTTTTAACATCAAAGACTAAAAAAGATTAATTACAATGAAATTCCTGTATAAAATATGATCCTAAACCTGATTTTAGGATCAGTGCAAATAATCGACAGTAAACTCATATTTTAAAATTCAATTTCAATTTGTATTTAAGTTGTTCATTTATTTAAGTTATATTCATTTTTGGTGTAACTATATCAACATCTCCCTTGGCTGGTAAAATTAAGACTATGTATACACTTTAAAACTTTGCCTAAAACTCATTCTACTTACAAAGTAAATTATTATATTAACTTGAGCCCTAGGCTAATACTGTTTGAGAGTACTAGACTAACACTGTATGGAGGACCACCGAATAAACCCAATATGGATTACTTGTGTTTATTCTTTGTTTTAGAACTCGAAGAAGGACTTTTGAATTGAACCCTTAAGACCATAACTAAAATTTGCCATTGCTTTGTATGTATGTATACAATAAATTTTGTTTAATAATATTTCAACATTAGTTAATAAGTTATAATAAAGAAAATTGATTGTACACTTACATACAAAATGTTATTGATCGCAGTCTATCTGGTCAGTTATTAAATGATTTAATCAGTTACAACAACTTGGTATTTGTTTTACCTATAATTCGTGCTTTAATCCAACTGTATATTTTGCTTTTTAAATAATTAATAATAATTTATTATAAAAAAAGAGCATATATTGTTATTAGTATTTGCTTCTAAATGTACAATTTAGTAGATAAGTATTAACTTGTTGACATTCAGCGTACATGTTGGCATGTGTGTTCTTGGCAAATTGGCTGCTGGCATCATGCGCGTGGAATTAATGTATTTCTATCTTCTTCAATAAAGGCGAAAGGAACTTTTATTTTTTTGCTGCTAGTGCAACAGGTGACATTAAAGTAAGATCTATACGTCGTGCAAACGGTACATCCTTTTGTAAAATATACAGATGTTTTCAGTAAGTAGCATTTATTTTTATTCCTTCTCCATTTATCAACAGAGATAAAACAATTAAGAAAATTTACTTCACTGTTGAAAAATAAAATAGAATATCATAATAACTAACAAAACGGACAATAATATTTAGAAGGTTATCCACTACAAAGTCGATGTTGTATTCAAAAAATAAATCTAATAATATATTACAAAAACATATTTGTGTACTTATACTTAAAACTTACGTCGTACGTCAAAAAATGGTTAAAAAATATTTTGTTATTTTCGGTTATACAATCAACAAAAATTCTACTTAACAGACAGACTTATGTTTATTATATTATTGTTCTAATTCAAAGTTTTGTCATTGTTTAAAAATAGTTCAAACTAATTTCTTTCTTGTTACTTATCAGATTAATAAAACAGAAATTAAGAATTAAAAATTAGAAAACATTTATTTTATTTTGAACAAAT